GCTGCTGCTGCTGCTGCTACTGCTGCTGCTGCTGCTGCTACTGTTGATGCTGCTGCTGCTGCTGCTGCTGTGGCCGTGCTGATCCAACCATAGAAGGTGAGAGCGAGGTAAAAAAAAACGAAGGGAAAGTGAGTGAGCAAGAGAGAGAGGGGGAGAGAAGGAGAGAAGGAGAGATAGAGAGAAGAAGAGAGGGGAAAAAGATAGAGAGAAGGAGAGCACGAGAGATAGAGAGAAGAAGAGAGGGAAAGAGATAGAGAGAAGGAGAGCGAGAGAATGAGAGAGGGAGAGAGTGTGTATGTGTGCCAGAGAGTGAGTGAGAGAGAGAGAGAGNGAGAGTGATAGAGAAAAAGAGAGAGAGAGAAAGGGAGAGAGAGAGAGAGAGAGAGAGAGAGAGAGAGCGAGAAAGAAAGTGAGAGAAAAGTGGGAGCGATAGCTATGGGTATTTAACGCTATGGACCCGACTAAAACTGACAAGCCAATCTGCTTAAGCTAGCTATTGCTATAGAGGTTATCCGTCGGTGAAGTTAAGCCCCCCAACTTGAGGGTGTCGCCACTGTACACGCGGCCCGCAGTGCGTGAGGGTCGTCTGCTGGAGAGTCGTCACGTGGCGGGCGGGCGGCCCTCTCAGCCGTAGCATTCTACAGCATACACTGTAGTTGCCAAACCTGTTCAGCGATCACTGCCGCACGAGCGTTGAACCCGTCCTGTCGGCCCCCAGAGTGTGTCTCTCGCAGGTGGGGAATGTGGGCCACACGAATCTATCTCCATTAGACTGTGTGGGAGATACACGCTAAGCTTACACTCCCATCTTCTTTGACGCGCCTGTGGAATGGTCGGCCTACACGCCCATACTGCTGCTACCAACACGTAGACTCAGCGCGAGTGTCGTACGTCGGCTGAGTGTTGAGATCCGACGGGAGAGGAAACGGAAGTGTCAGCGGCGGGCGCAGTCATCGTCGTCGTCGGCGGCGGCTCCTGACATCGACCGACGACAGCAGCGATGGCGGTGACGACGTTGGTGATGCTGACGGCGGCGTTGGCGATGGTCTCCGGGCAGGGAACAGACGAGCAGAATCTGGCTCCGTTTCTCGATCTCTGCTGCGACATGGAAGCATTCTCGCTCGCCGAAAACACGCCAGTCGGCGCCACCGTCTACACGCTCGTCGGCCACGATCCGGAGGGTTCGGCGGTGACGTACGCGCTGGCGGGCACGGACTACCTGAGTATCGACGCACGCTCGGGTGCCATCACGCTCGCAAGACCGCTCGATCGAGAGCAGCTGGTCGGCGGCGATTTCATCTCCGTCGGCGTCGTCCTGGAAGACGACGTCGGCGACGGTCGACCGAACAATCGATTGCGGTTCGACCGCCAGGTGGCAGTCACCGACGAGAACGATAACAGTCCGACGTTCGTCGGCGCGCCGTACGCGTTCAGCGTCGACGAGACGACGCCAGTGGGCGCCACTGTCTTCGTCGGCATCTCGGTGACGGACGCCGACAAGGGATTTAACTCGGACGTGTTCCTGTCGTGCGACGGTGGCGCCGCCTGCGACTACTTCCGCGTCGTCGAGCGACGGGAGGGCGAGGGGCGGTTCGTCGGCGAGGTAACGCTCATCAAAGCTGTCGACTACGAGACGACGGAGACATTTCTGCTGCGCGTCAGAGCCGAGGACGAGGGCAGAGTGCCTCGCAACGCAACCGCCGACGTCGTCGTCAGCGTTGCCGACGCGCAGGACCTGCCGCCGCGCTTCTCCGGCGCCCCCTACTTCGCCAACGTGCACGAAGGCGAGAGTGTCGGCCTGTCGGTGCTGCGCGTGTCGGCGCGCGACGGCGACCGTGGCGCCCCCCGTCCGCTCAGTCTCACACTACTCGGCGACACGCTCGGGTACTTCGTCCTGACGGTGACGAATTCGGCCACGAGGGGCGCGGTCGTCGCCGAGCTACGGACGACGGGCATAGCGATAGACCGTGAGTCGCCGACGATCCTGAATAACGGAGGAATCTATCCCCTCGTCGTGCGCGCGACGGAGCAGGGAGAGAACGGCACGTCGACCGACGCGAACCTCACTGTCGTCGTCATCGACGCCGACGACAACCGACCGCTGTTCAACGCGCCGCGATACCGCGTGTCCGTCCCTGAGCATCTGTCCGTCGGCACGCCGCTGCCGGGGCTTGACATCACCGTCGCCGACGCCGACGTCGGCGCGCACGCCGCCTTCACGCTGGCGCTGCGTGGAGCCGACGGGGTGTTCTCCGTCTTCCCGGACGGCGCGCTAGGCAGCGTTCCCGTGCTGATCCGCGTCGACAACTCTTCCCGTCTCGACCACGAGATCGCCGCGGGGAGGCGCCTCGAGTTTTCAGTCGTCGCGACGGATCCGGCAGGCGGCGAAACGGTCGCCGACGTCGTCGTCGACGTGTCGGATGAGAACGACCACAGGCCGATGTTCGCGCGCGCGGCCTACGCACTCGACGTCGCCGAGAATCAGGCTCCGGGAGCCGTCGTGGCGACGATCGTGGCGACGGACGCCGACAGCGGAGAGTACGGTCGGCTCAGCTACCGTCTCGTCGGCGTCGGCAGCGAGCGCTTCGTCGTCGGCGAGGCGACGGGCCGCATCGAGGTGGCGCCGTGCGCGCGTGCTCCGTGCCTCGACGCCGAGGCTAGGCGGCGCTACGGTCTCACGTACGAGGCGCGCGACGTCGGCGGTCGTCTAGCTGCCGTCCCGCTCACCATCGACATCGCCGACGTCAACGACAACCCGCCGCGCTTCCGCCGACCGCGCTACGAGGCGACGCTGCGAGAGGGAGCGACGCGCTTCTCGGCGCCGTTCGTCGTGCGTGCCGACGACGCTGACGTCGGCAGCGACAACAGCGCCGTCGCGTACAGCATCGTCGCCGGCAACCAGGCGGCCGTGTTCACCGTCGACGCCCGCAGCGGGGAGCTGTTGCTGCTCAAGCCGGCGACGTACGGCGACACGCGCGACCGCGCAGGCGCGTACGAGCTGACCCTGCAGGCGCGCGACGGTGGCGTCCCCTCGCTGAGCGGCACGGCGACGGTGCGCGTGCGCGTGCGCGACGAGAACACTCACGCACCGCAGTTTGAGTTTAACAGCTACGAGGGTAGTGTCAGTGAGCTGGCGGCAGAGGGCGCCAGCGTGCTGCGCGTGTCGGCTGCCGACGACGACTACGGCGACAACGGCGCCGTGTCGTACCGCATCGTGTCGGGCGCGCGCGGTAACTTCGTGGTCGACGCGTCGTCCGGCGTCGTCTCGGTCGCAGAGGGCGCCACGCTCGAGCGCGAGACATCCGGCGACGTGTACCACCTGGTGGTGAGCGCGTCGGACAGCGGCGCCCCCTCGCGGCTGGCGTCGACGGTCGACGTGATGATCGTCGTGCGCGACGAGAACAATCAGCCGCCGCGCTTCGACAGCGCCCTCTACACGGCCTACGTCGCCGAGCTAGCGCCGCGGGGCGCCACCGTCGCGCGCGTTGCCGCCGCCGACCCTGACGACGCGCCCGACGTCCGCTACTCGATTGTGGCGCCGATCTCAGCGCGCACGCCCACTGGCGACCCCTGGCGGCCGTCAGCTGACGGCTTTGACCCGGCGACGGCGTTCACTGTCGACGAGACGACGGGCGACGTGCGCGTCGCCGGAGCGCTCAGTCGACGCGTCGTGTCGTCCGTCGCCGTCACCGTCCGCGCCGAGGACCGCAACGCCGCAGCCGGCACCCAGGTGGCGCTGACGACGCTCGAGGTGTTCGTTAGGGGGCCCGACGGTGCCGACCCGGTGTTCGCTGCTCCCTGGACGCCGGAGAAACCGGAAGTGGAGGTGACGATACAGGAAGAGCTGCCCGTCGGTCACCGCGTGCTACTGCTGCGCGCGTACGATCCCCGCACGGGGGCACCCGTGTCGCGCTACGAGAAGCTCGCCGCTCCGGGCGGATACCTGACGGTAGATGGCGTCACCGGCGAAGTGACGATCGAGCGACGCGTCGACATGGAGGCCGACCCGCCGCTGCCGCTCACGCTCGACGTGCGCGCCACCACCGCCGAGGGGCGCCACTCGTTCGCGACGCTCGTCGCGCGCGTCGTCGACGTGAACGACAACGCGCCGGCGTTCGAGCGCGACGAGTACCGCGCCGACGTGAAGGAGTCTGAGCGCTCGCCGGCGCTCGTCGCGCAGGTGGCAGCACGAGACGCCGACGTGCGCGCGGGTTTCCGCGACGTCGCTTACTCGCTGTCCGGCAACGGCGCCGAAAACTTCGCCATCGACAACGCCACGGGCTGGGTGTCCGTGTCGCCGCTAGCGCGCCTCGACCGCGAGTCGGTGCCCGTCTACCACCTAGTGGTGACGGCGCGCGACCGGCCGACTTCGTCCGTAGACTGGCTCGAGACGTCGGTACTGCTCACCGTCGCCGTTACAGACGAGAACGACCACTCGCCGAGGTTCGAGCAGCGCACGTACAAGGCAGCAGCCGTGGAGAGCATTCACACGCAGGGAACCATCCTGCAGGTGGTCGCCAGCGACGATGACGATCCGAGCGCCCCCTACGGGCAGCTCCAGTACTCGATTGGCTACCGCGGGAATACGGAAAACATGTTTTCGATGCGGTCGAGCACCGGCGAGGTGTTTGCTTCCACGGATCTCATCGGGAGGGCCTCACCTCTGCCATATATCTTCCAGGTAAGGCTAATTAACGTGCTCACCTGTGCCGTACACCTTCCACAGGTAACACTAAGCAATATCTTTCCCTGTGCCGTACACTTTTCAGGTAAGGCTAATTAACGTGCTCACCTGTGTCGTACACCTTCCAGGTTAAGCTAACCAACGTCAGCACCTCTGCCGTATACCTTCCACAGGTAAAGGTAATTCACATCCTCACCCGCACTGTACACATCCCGTTATGATATATATATATATATATATTAGTAATCGTGGGCCACACCTTGCGCACATTTTATCCGCAGGCGAGTTACGCTCCATTCCTAATTGCTCTATTCATCATACAGCCGCCTGTCATGCAGACAAGGTTGTATTGCGTGGGTGCAGGGGTGGTGGTTGTAGCAGGTAGGGGATCGCGTAGAGCTGGTCCAGCCTCGACCTCAGACAGACCTAACACGTATCTGCACCGTAAGATTAATAGTAAGATATGATAGTAAGATAATAAGGTATAAGGTATAAAGATATACGGATAAGCAGTATAGGTATAGTGAGACAATAAGGTATATGGACAATTAAGGTATAAGGGGTAAGGGGTAAAGGGTAAGGGGTAAGGGGTAAGGGGTAAGGGGTATAGTATAGTAAGGGGTAAGGGGTATAGTATAGTAAGGGGTATAGTATAGTAGAGTAAGGGGTAAGGATATAAGGTAAGATAGTAGATAAGAGTAATAATGATATTACTGCGTGACGCCGACTATCCGATTTACACATTGATTGATTTACACATTGATTGATTTACACATTGATTGATTTACACATTGATTGATTGACGCGTTGATTACAGGTGAAGGTATGCGACAAAGGTGACCCGGCCAGGTGCGACAGAGCGTCGGTGAGTGTCACCGTCGGAAGCGTCACCTCGAGCGACGGACGACCGCGGTTCCTGTCGCCGTCAGGGGGCGGTGCGACGGTGAGCATGAGGGAGGATTCCCCGCCAGGGAGCGTCGTCTTCACAGCCGTCGCCATCAACAGCGACGACCTTAGCACGGTTCAAGGTCGCATCAGGTACAGAACATGCACACAGATGGACACGTACGTACGCACGCACGACGACGACGCTAAGCAGGCACGCACGTACGGCGCAATACAGGCGCGCAGTGTTATGCGCGACATCGTAACGGCCACACAGACGGCACCACCGCACAGTACGTGCCCGACGCGTACATACTCGCAGACGCACACGCATAAACAGAACACGACACAACCACGGCCACGCACACACACACACACACATACACACACACACACACACACACACACACACACACACACACACACACACACACACACACACACAGAATACCAAAAATCTGGCTCTTAACATAGTTGGACTGTGAGTGCTTGTGCTTCAACGACCACGTAAACAACGTGCCCGTCTCCAGTAATTGGGACGTGAAAGAAACCACTAAGGAAAGAAACCTTTCGTAGAAAACACGGACCTCTAAAACAGAGGTTCGACATAGAGCTTCTCATTCTGCTAACGAATCTCCGATTACTAAAACTGGAAATTAATTTCAAGCTGCATTAATTAGGATTATATTAAGACTATTTAAAACTACAGCCCTATTCGCGGAAAAAATGAAGCCCTTGCAATTTTTCATAGAAATTCGAAGGGAAAAATAACACAGTTTTCTACTCGGTATCAGGTATAGTTTCCAAGAAGGAATCCACCGCGAGGATCACCGGCTGTTCCGCATTGACCCCGACACAGGGGTCATCACCACGGCAACGCAGCTCGACAGAGAGACGCGACAGAACGTGACGTTGTCGCTGCTGGCGTCTGACGGCGGACATCCGGTGCAACACGCCACGCAGACGCTCACAGTCGTCGTCACAGACGTCGACGATAACTTGCCCTCGTTCTCGCGAGATGGCGCCACGCTCACGCTGGAGGTGATGGAGAANGGCGAGGGAGAGGGAGAGGGAGAAGGAGAGGGAGAGGGTAACGGAGAGGGGCAGGGAGAAAGACAGGAAGAGGGAGAAGTAGAGGCAGAGGGCGAGGGAGAGGGAGAGGGCGAAGGAGAGGGAGAGAAGAGGAATTTACACAATAAATCATCAGAGAATTTAAGAGAAAGAACTAGCTAACTCTCCCCTGCCTCCTCCTCCATAGCTCCATCCTCCCCTTCCCTACACTGTACATGAAAGTGACAGCCACGGACGCGGCCCTATGAGGTATCAGCCGCATCTACTACTACATCATCTTCTATCCTCCCTCCTCCGCCTCCTCCTCTTCCTCATTCTCCTTCTCCCCCTCTACCACCTCTCATCCTTCTTCTTCTTCTCTTCTTCATCCTCCTTCTCCTCTTCCTTTGCCCCCTCCTCCTCATCCTCTCCTTCGCCTCCTCCCCCTCTACTTCCCTCCTCCTCATCCTCCTCCTTCCTCCTCCTCCGGCTCCTCATCTTTCTTCTCCCTCCTCCTACTCTTCCTCCGCCTCCTCCTCCTCTTCCTCTGCCTCCTCCTCCTCCTCATCCTTTAATGCCATGTTATAACTGAATCTATGCCGCATTCGTACATGAAGGTGACAGCCACGGATGCGGACCTGGGAGGCAACAGTCGCATCTACTACTACCTTGTCTGCGGCAACGACGACCACAAGTTCAGCATCGACACGACCAGCGGCGTGCTGCGCGTCGACGGAGACCTCGACCGCGAGACCAGCGCCACCTACATCGTCTGCGTACGAGCGAGCGCCGTGCCTCAGGGAAGAACGAGAAGGCAGACGATCGAGGAGGAGGAGGAGGAGGAGGATACGGAGGAGGAGGAGGGGAGGGGCTTCCGCAGGGGTACGATGAGGAGGACGGCAGCGTGATGCTGGTGAGGATCGAGGTGTTAGACAGGAACGACCACGCGCCCAGCTTCCGGCAGCAGACGATGAGCGCAGTCGTGCACGCTGCCGCCGCCGTCGGCACGTCCGTCACCAGGTACGCGACACATGACACATGACACATGACACATGACACATGACACATGCGCATGACACTGCTGCTCCTCAATAACTTCTGCTGCTGAGATATAATACTGCACTAACTCCTGCTGTATGAGATTTAATACTGCACTAACTCCTGCTGCTGAGATTTAATACTGCACTAACTCCTGCTGCTCAGATTTAACCCTGACCCTAACAGTGAATATAAACAGTTATTGAATCATCATACGTGGATATTATTGAGTAGGTAGTGCATTAGATACAATAATGTAAGCCAACAAGAGTAGGGGGTTACATTGTTGGTTTACATTATTGTATCTAGTAATGCCTGTCTTTTCTGCTGGTTAATTGCTGGTTAGTTCCAGTTTAGGATCCCGTTCCTACGCGGTGAGGTTAATGGTTAAGTTCGATTTGGGTTAGGTTTAGAGGTTAGGATGAAGATTAGGTTTGAGGTGAGGGATAGCGTTCGCAATAGGGTAGAGTTAGGGTTGAGCATAGACTTTTAAGGTTAGGTGTATGATTAGGGTTAAGGTAAAGGTTAATCTTGGTGTAATACGCCTAGTAGACGTAGCCCGCATTTGATAGCGTTGATAGCATTTGAGGCGTATTCTCTTGTAAAAAAAGTAACGTTTCTTTGATATTTATTCCTATCGTCGTATGCGCAAACCGCGTTGATAATGTTTGGTTTGAATACGGTGTCTGTTTTCGATGAGTAGGAAATAATACCTATCGCGATTCAAAATATCACGCACTACATGTGGCGCCCCCTTTGTTTATATGGTAAACTAAACACGACCAAGAGTTCATTATCGTTATTATTCCGAGTTATTGAGTCCTTAAATAGCACGTCAACGCATTAATTAGTGGGAATTTTAGGGATATTCGTGTACATATCCTGTTATGACACGTCAACGCATTAATTAGTGTTTGTGCACATATCCTGTTATGGCACGTCAACGCATTAATTAGTGGGAATTTTAGAGATATTCGTGTACATATCCTGTTATGACACGCTAGCGCGTCGAAGATGGCAAGTCTATATTTATTTGTAATATAAATCTCGTATATTGGTCATTCGTACGTCTTCTAATATAAAGGCCATGCAGTGCATCCGTGTATTTACTCACAATGAATTCCGGGTTTATCTCGTACATTCCTAAATATAAATCGTCAAGTACGTAGTACGTAGTAAGTAAACACGTCATTCCCACATTTCGTAAATGTCAATTTGTTCTCATATTTACTGACATAAATCCGGTTTTATTCGCACGTACATTCGCGAGTATAAATCCCAGGTCGTTTCTATATTTCTTCAATGACAGTTCGCTCGTGTATTTCGTGTGTTTCACTGCGCGTTTATTCCTACACTCGTGATGTACGGACTCTCTCCCGACGGACTCATTTATTCACAGAGTGCAGGCAGACGACAAGGACATCGGTAGGAATGCGAACATCTCCTACTCCATCAGAGAGATCAGATTCGTACACGAGAAACGCGCAAACGAACGCGAGCAAGCAATCAAAGTAGCGCACGCATACAGGTGAGCTTACCTGTAGAGCGCGGGGACTACCGCAGCACGGCCTTCTATTCCCCCCATCTCTATTACGCGGGGATTATTATTGCGGGGATTTCTCGACAGCGGTATAGATCTAGGTCGCGTGTGCCGCTGTTTTCGTCTGCTGCTATTTTGTCATAACGCACTCTAAGCGTGTCTAGATGCTTTCTTGCTAATGCGCCGGCCACGTCTGCCTCCTCTCTCTCTACTCAATCATTACTCTCTCTTTCTCGTCTCGCATCCCTCGTCGAAGCTCCTCTCACTATCTCTCATCTCTCCTCTCCGTTTCATACTCTCTATCTCTCTCACTCATCTCTCCTACATCTCTCCTCCCCTGTCGTCGGCTTTCTCTCTCTCTCTCCAATATATACCATATACATAATAATATACTATAATAGCTATATAGAGAGAGAGAGAGAGAGAGAAGAGAAAGAGAGAGAAAAAGAAGAGAGAGCAGAGAAGAGAGAGAGAGAAGTCGAGAGACTGATAATAGAATATATATAATTAAGATATATAGATATTAAAACGCGCACATAGGCAAAAAATACAAAGTGTCTATCTATCAACGTGCTAAATATATAAATTACAATACGTGCCTACGCAGTACGAATCGTAATAGAGCTACAGTACAATACTGAGCATGTATAATAACAAACTATGTGTGTATAGCATCTGCTAATGGGGCAGTAATAAGGCATAACATCTTAGCTTCAATGCCCATCTCTATAAAGGCAGTGTTGGCCACTAACAACAATCCCTATATCTCCCCTCATCTATTCTCTCTCGCGTGCAGGTCGGACCAGTACATCAGCGGCGAACGATGCGATAACTACCAGCCCGCCGCGTACGTCCGTGATACATCTCGAGCTGGACATCTACGCCGAGAAATTCCGCAGCAGACGACACCAAGACCTCACATACATCTTGACTCCTACCGCATCCCTGCGTAAATCTATCCACTCACGGACGGACAATCGGGCGTGAAACGACTTCAAAACCGACAGCCTGACGCCGTCCCATCGTACGCATTTATGTGAGGGGTGAAGGAGTGGGCGCAAACCTTACAGCTACAAGGGGTAGAGTGATGAGGGGAGTGACGGAATAGGGGTGAGGAGGTGTTTGAGGGAGTGGAGAGGGAGTGTGGGGAGGGTGTAGGAGTGGTGAGGGAGTCGCGGCAACCTAACACACAAGGTGGGTGAGGGAGGTGGTAGGAGTGAGATGAGGAGGTGGTGAGTGAGTGGGGTGAGGGAGGTGGGTGGAGTTTTGGAGGGGTGAGGGAGGTGGGTGGGGAGGTGGTTGAGGGAAGTGGGTGAGGAGGGTGGTAGAGGGAGGTGTGGAGAGGTTGGGTGAGGGAGGTGGTGAGGAGGGAATGAGGAGGTGGATGAGGAGGTGAATATGAGGAGGCTGGTGAAGGAGTGGGTGAGGGTAGGTGGTGTGAGGCGAGCTGGGGAGAGGAAGGTGAAAAGAGGAGGTGTTAGGAGCCGCACAAGCTACAGCTACAGTGGGTGAGGAGGTGGACGATGAGGAGTGGGCGAGGAGTGGTGAAGGGAGTGGAGTGAGGAGGTGGTGAGAGGTGGCTGAGGGAGGTGAGTGATGATGGAGTCGGCGGCAACCTACAGCTACAGGGGAGGAGTGTGAGGGAGTGCGTGAAGAGAGGTGTGTGAGAGTGGGTCAGAGTGAGGTGTGTGAGGGTGCAGTGGGTAGGGATGCGGTTGAGGAAAGGTGGGAAGGAGGTGGGTGAGGGATGAGGGAAGGGTTGGTGAGAGTCGTGGCAACACTAACAGCTACAGGGGGGAGGAGTGTATTGAGGAGTGGCTGAGGGAGTGGTGAGGGAGGGGGATGAGGAAGGTGGGCATGAGGTAGGTGGGTGAGGAGGTGGTGTAGGGAGTTGTGAGATGAGGAGGTAGATTGGTGAGAGTGGCTGAGGAGTCGGTGGCAACCTACAGCTACAGTTATGAGGGAGTGGATGAGGGACGTGGTGAGAGGAGTGGTGAGAGGTGGGTGAGGGAAGGTGGTGAGGGAGTGTGGAAGAAAGGGTGAGAGTGTGTGAGGAGAGAGTGGGAGGGAGGTGGGTAGGGAGGTGGGGTGAGGAGAGTGGTTGTAGAGGTGGTGAAGGAGGTGATGAGGAATGTGGTGAGGGAGGTGGTGAAGGGAGGTGGGAGAGTTGTGAGGGAGGTGGGAGGAGGTGGGGAGAAGTGTGAGGGAGGAAAAGGATGTAGAGTGGGTAGAGGAGGTGGGAAGGAAGTGGGTAAGAGGGCAGGGGGAGGGAGTGCTTGCAGAGGAAGCGTGCGGTAGAGAGGCTGAAGGGAGTGTGGTGAGTGGAGTCGTAGGCACCTATCACAGCTGAACAAGGTGGTAGAGGGGAGGTGAAAATGAGTGGAGTGGTAGATGGATGTGGAATTGAGGAGTGGATGACGGGAGTTTAGGAGTAGGGAGGGAGACGTGGTAGGGATGATGAGTGCAGAGTCGGTGGCAACCACAGCTACAG